GTTCCAAACAAGCACCTGAAACTTCTGGCAAGACAGAAAGAGTGAGCAGCTAATTTTAAACTCTCACAGAGAGTAAGGTTATTTATTAAGTTGCTTATTTTATAATCAGTCGCATTATAGAGCTTACATGCTCATCAAAACATGCAAGCAGAGACATAGATAGAGTTAATGATGTAAGGAATAAAGCAAAAGCCAAAACTCATTATGAGAAGAAATACTCCAACCTTATAACAGGGGCCATTTACACATTGCCAAAAAAATAGAAATATATCACCAAAAATTGGGACGGTGAGAGAGAAAATGATGCAGGAAACAGAGGTCAGAACTTGAGTAAATTTAGCCAGACTGACAAATAATTTATACAGTTCACAAATGGCCTCCCAACTATTTCATACCTCCATTTGTATCTGAATCCTAATTTTAACCTTATCACTTAGCCAAGACTCTTACTCTGCCAATGTGCAAAAAAATAAATTGTACTTCATCACAAATTTATACGTGCAGTGGAAATATGGCAACTTTTTTTTTTGCAGCTCTGTTTCTTTTTTTCCTGGCAATCAAGAGAGGACATAGAGGGACAGGATGTGGCTTTACTCAATTGCAAGCATTCTACATTACAGCAATAACTTGTCAGTTTCTTCCAGAAACTGTCAGCACGATGGTATGTGTTTGGTCACATCGTTGAGAAGTTTTAAGTAAAAAGATCATATGCAAAGTAAAATACTATAGATGTGGTTTTGTATTCCTTGAAACCCAGGGCCAGCCCTCATCATGGGTTTGGTTGCAGAGTTATTTTCAGAACAAGCCTGCATCTGAGCCTGACGTATGTGTGCTTATGGGGGGTGGGGGGTGGGGAGGAACACTTACAAAGATTTGTGTCTGCTGCTTCAAGATGTGAAGTCAAGAGACCATACGCCATAAAGCCACCGTGTGCTGCAGCTATCTTGGAGTGAATGCTCAAATCAATGTGATGGATGGAGTATTTCTTCATTTTGGACCATTCTTGTTTTATGGCCTAAGCCTCACCTGGGCTTTCTGCAACCCATTCAGAAAGAAACCCTGATTTGCTCTTTCAGCAATGCTCTTCAAGATAACGCACCCAGGACAATTGCTATCATTTGCCTTCGAGACTTCATCAGAACTAGTTGTCAGCAAACACTCCTCAGCTCTCAAATCTGAACTGTAAGCAGAGGAGAAGAAGCTATTTAATCTCTGCTGCCGAGAGTCCAGACTTCCAGAAGTCCCTAAAGAGGAGTGACTGCATCTGAAATGGTGTAACTCAGTCCTGGCTGGGAATTCTCGGAATTGAAGTCCACACATCTTAAAAGTTGTCAAGGTTGAAAAACCATGTTGTAGCTATTCTTACACCTGGGACCTTTAAGCACTTTAATACCAGATTTTTCTTTTTAGCCATGACATTACACTGTCCTTGATTTCTATCAAAGTCCACGTTCTCTTACGCCTCCTTTTTTTTGTTCTGACCTAGTTATACTGCTTAAATCTTAACATGTTCCTCTTAGCCAAAGGGGAAACATGACGCCCACTATACAATGAAACGGTCACTTTGAACAGTGGTCTAAGATAGACAGCAAATGAGGGGGCAATCCTGTTGCTCCACTGCCCAGAGCTGTAGCTGTGTAGCACTGAGGGCACATGGCTCTTCATAGTGGATCACTGCCCATGTTGGCCTTGGGAACTTTCTCTCAGAGATGTTGACAGGGTGACGGGCAAATTGACAAGCTGGAGACTGAGTGACTATATTACTAGCAGGTGGGAAGGGGCATATAGGTGGGAAGGGGCATATAGTTGTAGATCCCCTGCAAGTTTGGTGTCCATTCAGGTTCTAGAAGGAGTATGCCTTTCAGCAACTTTGTCATTTGCTATGATGGTAGGACTGACAGGGACTGTCCTTGTGACAGTTGGAAGTTGGCGAGGAGGAGGAGGAGGAGGAGGAGGAGCCCAGATCATCCAAGCAGGATGGCATGTTTCCCCAAGAACCTCTGGAGAGCCCAGGGATTGAGGATGACATAATCACAGGGCTGTCCAGCATTGGGAGCAGCAGCCAACCAGATGGGGAGCTGCCTGCCCTAACGACAGCTGCAGAGGATCGGCTGCTAACCGTCAGCAGCAATGAAAGGCAACAGATACTGTCCAATGAGGAACAGCTCCCCACCTGATCCATGGGTGCAGAGAGTGGAGCGGAGGGAAACCTAGAGAAGGTCAGAGAGGCTGCTCGTGAGGAAGCAATGCCGCCCTTCCCCTCAAGGCACACCTGGGGGTGATTTAGCCAAACACTGGAGGAAGGTGTGTTTGTCAGGAGCAACCATTTGCTTCGGTGCTCACTTTCCTGGTTCTCATGGACTTCTGATTGGGTTTTGGCTTTGTGGACTCTGAATCTTTTTTGTGTACTTTGGACCTGGTTTTGTGGACTCTGAACGTTGTTTGCAAACTTTGGACTTCCTCTGATTTGTGGGAATAGGTTGCATTGACTGTGGGTGGCTGCCTTTGGGGAAAATTGGGATGAAGCTTTACTGGCACCATTGGAGGACCATTTTTCATGGTAGCTGGGCAATAAACAGACTTTACCTACACCTGCCAGTGGGACCTGGGTCAGAAGAACGCTTCAAAATTTATCATACTAGCATTTTTGAAGGAAACTGCAAGACAAAACAGTTCCCTGAAGGAAAACTCAAAGGTAGCAGGGAAGATACTTCCTGGAACCTTCTTCAGCACTGCCTATCCATCTTTATCTTTCTCCAATCTTTCAGGGCTGTGGTGGCACCATGGTCAGAATGCAGTATCATAGCTAACTCTGCCCACTGCTAGCAGTTCAATCCTGACTGGCTCAAGGTTGATTCATCCTTCCATCCTTCCGAGGTTAGTAAAATGAGGACACAGATTGTTGGGGGCAATATGCTGACTTTGTAAACTGCATAGAGAAAGTTATAAAGCACTGTGAGGAGGTATATAAGTCTAAGTGCTAATACTATTGCTATTTCTGGAGGAGAAATTAACCAGGGAAGAATGCAGTGGCAGCAGTTGCAAATATTTCTTCTCAGATCCATTCTCTCTGGGCACTGCGGTGAATCTGGCCGCAGATGCTGCCAAGAGAGTGCACGAGCAACTGTGTCCATTCATTTGTTCTGTTGAACTGGATGACGTAACCCTTTCATCCTCCCACTCACTGATCTGAGATCTCCCTCCAGGTACCATAGTAATGGTGATTCTATCCAATTAATTTAATAGCCTCCACCATTGCATCCAGAAAAAAAGGGGGTTAAGGGAGAGAGGCAGCAATTGCTCCACCACATTTTCATGATTACTCTGCCTTTCTTTTCTCCTGGCAGCCAAAACTGAGCAAGTGATTGCAAAGAGTCTCTGTAATTGCTCACCTGCCTACTCCAATTGCTACCTGCTTGTTTCAATTGCTGATATCCTCTCTTTGACCAATGCAGCAGGAAAAATTGGTGGGTTTAGCAAGGGTATCCAGCAGGAAAAAGAGGGGGAGGCAAAGGAAATGGTGGCTTAAGTAGAGACCCCCCTTGAAAAAATCATCCATGAACAATGAAACATTTTTTATGTATCTAGCTGGAAAATGTTGGGTTACTCTCTTTAGAGTCTTGGATGATCTTATCTTTCTTAGTATACCTGTACTTCCTTTTGGTAATGTTGTCCACTTTATTCCGCAGGAATGTGGAATGTGGGCCTATATGTTTACATGCCTGCACATGTGAATTCAAATCCCAATTTGAGTTAAGAGGGTGCTAGGTTTACCCATGATATCTGTTCTCATTTTAAATGTTCATATTCAGGAAATACAATATTTGGTAGTTCCAGCTAAGCTACGAATTGTTTTTGAGGACAGGACACAGAATAATCTGTTTAAGTTAGAGAAAGGCAGTGTGTACCTGAAAGAGTGTAAAAAATCCTAACAATACAATTAGTACATCAAAGAAACCAATGACTGCTAAACAAGCATGTCAGAGATGTTTAATTTGGACTCCTGTACTTAGCTGGGGGGTTGGACCTAAGACTCTGCAACTTTACCTCTCTCTCAAATATATGGTGTAGAGAAGGCTATCAGTGGAGTGTAAGCCAATAAAAGCCTTTTATTTTCATTATAACCTTGTAATCTCTTTAAGGGAGGGGTCCTCAACCTTTGGGCTGAGGGCTGTGGCCTACTATTGGGCCATGGCCTGATCATAACCAAGCCACACAAATGGTGGGGAGGGCGCATGCAGCCCAGTCTCTCGTGAGGCGAGTGCTGGGACTCACAGCCCCACTTGTCTGAGCGGCAGGCACACATCCCCGCCTCTCACACAAAACCATCCACTCTTCCCCCCCTCCCTGCACTGGGCCACCAGCCTGGAAAAGTTGGGGAACGCTGCTCTAAGGGATTACAGGTGATAATAGCAAATATTACCCTCGTTGTTGTTGTTTTTAAAAAAATCAATTTATAAATTTCCTTACTCAATTCCTGCTCCTGCTCCTGCGACCAAAGCATCCCCACTTTACTTGTTAATAGGCTATGCCAGTGATGGCGAACCTATGGCATGTGTGCCAGAGGCGGCACTCAGAGCCCCAGACTTACCTCTCCCCATGGCCCCCTCCTCATCAGCAACCCCCCCGGAGGAGAGTTGCCCCCGGGCAGGGCCCACGTCAAGCAGCACAACCAAGCACATGGCAGCCGGGCAGCAGGGACAAGATTCCACCCTCGTGCCCCATTGCACACAGATATGCTGTGGGGCATGGATGGAGGGCATGGCTGCCATGGCGCTGCTGAGCTGCCTGGGTGATCTGCTGTGGTGGGCCGTGGAGGCAGTGGGTAGCCCTGCGGGCAGAGCGGGAATGGATCAGGGGGTGGAAGGGAGGATGGGGCAGTTTTGGGATACTTGCCATTACTGGGCTATGCAATTTACAGGGACACTTTTGCAGTTTTAAAAGCTGCGTTTCCCTCTTTTGTTCTAGCGCACTATTAGAAATGACAACCAAGTCCGAACCTGTGCATCTTCATATGTGTACCTCCCGGGGTCTTTGACGTTTTGGCTTGTTATTTCATAGCTGTGAGAGTCCAGGTTGATGGCACTCTGGGCCCCAGGAGCAAGGAACTCCTGCCAAATGTCTTCTACTCGGGTTGCGACATCTTGCAGCGTTTGTTTTTTGAGATCCTGGACAGCCAGCCAAAACCTGCATGGAGGCAACGAAGAAAGAGAATGTATCCCAGAAAAGTGAGTCAGCTGCACCACCAAGATTCAGGTTAATTTTAGCTCAGTTTTTTTTTTTTTTACAGCCAATATTCAACTGATATCCCAATAACCATTGTCGAACCCATTGGCCTATTGTGGTTTCTGAGTGATTCTGAAAGAAAGAAAAAAATCACATTTTACAGCCTCTCCATGCATTTGTCCTGCGTTTGAGTCTCTCCATCGCTTGTAGAATCGTGTAGTGCAGGGGTCCTCCACCGTGGCAACTTTAAGACTTGTGGCTGAGGAATTCTGGGAGTTGAAGTCCACAAGTCTTAAAGTTGCCACGGTTGAGGACCCCTGATGTGGAGACACTGCGAAATTAGAAACAGGAAATTGAGTTTCTTTGTAGACAAAATATTGTCTACAAAATATTGTCTGCAATACTCCTGATATGCTTAGTAAGAATAAACTAAAATATAGCCTCCCCACCTCCTCCTTCCAGCGAGTATTTTGTGTCAAATCCCAGAGTAATCAACGAAGAGGAGGAATTCTTTCAGGCATAAATTAGTCGGTCTGGCTCAAACTCAGTCTAATATTTTTAACATTGCTTATGTTTAAGATCACTTGGGTTTAATCCTATGTTATTCTACTTAAGCAAAGGCAGTTTAAAAGAAAAACTCTTCAGAGAAATATCATAGCCAGAGGATTCTGATTGATTGATTGATTATCTGCCATCAAGTTGTCAACTCTCAGTGACCATATAGATTTTTGCCCTGGTGATCTGTCTCTAAACTGGTATTGAAGATATGTGGTGGCAGTCTGTTAGATTTTGGCAGATAACTATCCTACACAATTGTTTTTTGCTGTTTGTTGAATGCGTTACTCACAAAAGTTTTACATTAGATATTGTCTTTTTTTGGGGGGTTCCCAAGGAAGTGTTTCAACAGGAGCATACACAAAGTCATACTGACACCTAGTGGTCATTCACAGCAACTGGTCCTTTTGCGCCATTCAAGATAAGTTGCATGTTCTCCTTCTGAACTGGCATAATTTACTTGAATGAATGGGAGATGGGCCCAATATCCTTGGCATGCCAAACATGAGTACATCCACCTAATCTTTTGTCTCTGTCCTCTATCTTGCCATTTTTTTGTGGGTCTGTCTAGTTATTTATGAATTCGTATTATGCCTTTCCTGGCAACTAGATACAAACGTGCTCTATGATAAAAGAGTATATGTATTCACATAGCAAGTCAGTCAAACATCCAGTAAATGCATTTGCTGAAATGGAAAGCTTGGTTGGTTTTAAGTTTGATTACTTTTTTGGGGGGAGGAGAAGCAGTGTGAGAGCTCAACACTTCATGAAGACAGCCTATTTGGTTAGTTTTGTATAAAAGTCAAAATAGGTTCATTCAGTACCCACATTGTGTGTCACACAAACCCAGTCAGAGGCATTACAAGAACACGGTAAATGTGATCAGATCTGAGACTGATCACTCGCGCATAATAAGTGACATGATCACTCGCGCATAATAAGTGACTATCCATGTGTAAACCAGCAATTGAATATGGAAAATCTTGGCAGATTTCTACTTTGTCTGCATCTCATGGGCAATACTTATCCCAAAGTCTTGTCACTTCATTTCATCAGGTGATCCTTTCTTTATCCTCCAATAAAACATGAAAGATTTCTCACTCCCCCATTTAACTAGGGACCTCATTCATTGTTGTTAGCAGTGAGAAAAAATATATATTTCCCAGTCAGTCAGTGACCTTGCTTGGCCCGGGATTTCTTCGCTACAAAACACATGAAAAATGTCTATATGCTACCACTTCCTGTTCTTAACTATCTCTCAAACTAGCATTAAAACTTTTGCTCAAAAGTTCAGGTGCGGTAGCTACCATAGCCTTCTAAAAACAACCCATAGTTTAATTGTTCAGCTCTCCTCCTTCTCCTCCTCCGCCTCCTTCTCCTACATGGCCACCAGAAAGCAAGAGCCTGGAAACAGGCTACTCAAGTTAAGAAACAGTACAACGGGGTCAATGTGGTGGTTAATGGTGATGCTCCTCCCTTTGGAGATCCAGATATTGTCTACTTAACAAACATTTGAAATCAGTAGGCAACTCATCCCGTAACCAATTTAAATATACTGTTGTAGGAATCCCACCGTAGACTGCAATATAGGAATGTGATTGGCAAACTCTTGCAAAAAGTGGGAGGTTCTGAGAAAAACTACTTCAGAGCTTTTCTTGGCAGCATGCACGAAATACAGAGAACATGGAGATAGCTTGACATGGTATCAGATAAAGTGTTGAGTGTAACCTGCCTTAATTGGGTTTCTTCCAGGCAGCCATTCTGTCTGGGAATTCTGGGAGTTGTAGTTAAGTACAGCTGAGAGTCTCAGATTGAGGAAAGGACTTTTAGTACACAGAACCAAGCTGTGCTGTTATTACCATGGCTGAAAATCAGCCTGAGGAAAAAGAATGGTAGCCAGGAGAAAACAGTCACCCACAATGCCATCTCGGGGACATAAAGCAGAGACAACAGTATATTTAAGTCTGCTGACCTGGAGGATCACAAAAACTGGAATGAAGTGCATCCAGTTCTGCTTCAAAGCCTTATAAGGAAGATATAAATGCCATTTCGAGTGTTCTGGGGAGAAAACATGAGTGTTAAATGATAATATCTGTAGCATTTATCATTAGTAACTATTTGTGGTTGATTATCATGCTGCCTGTCACCGACAGTGATTTTCACAATAGGAGGTGTGGGGTTACTATCACACATCTGCCATCTGTTTTAATATATATGAAGCCACTGATTGGCCCCTGTGGCACATTTCCTTTTTAAATGCCCAAAGGGAATGGCTAAGAAAAGCACTGCTTTCTGAGAACACTCCTCAACAGGTCTGGAAGTATGAAAAAAAAGTATTTGTTTTGGCCTCTGAAATAGTCCCCGACTAGCACCTTCACAAGAGTATTAAGGAACTTTGAATACTTTGAAGGCTCCTCCTTTTTTCACAGTATCTTAACACTTGTTTGGGGCAGGGGCTATCAAAGAAAGGGAAGAAGAAGAACAAAGCATTTGTGAAGTCCTCTTCAAATGAGTAGAAGGAACTGCATTTTCTGCTGTGCTGATCACTCCCTTGGATGATTTCTCCCCTTTTGAAAGCAATATGTAAATATTTAGAACGTAGGACTTGTTTCCATTTCTGTCTCCCCGAGTGAACAAGTTCACTGAGGATCAAATCCTACGCCTTCCACGTTCACAGAGCAGGCTGGCCTCAGCCCAAAGTAAGCTTGTTTAAAAGTTCCATTGTTTTCCATGGGTGAATTATTGGCTGTATTTTCTGGAACACTGAAATACTTATTAGCCATCTTAGTTTCACTCACTTCGCAGACTACCAAGCAGTACATACTTATTCCTTATGGGTTTTTTCAATTTTTAAAATTAATTTTCTATTATTACAATTGATTAGTGCTTAATAAACATCATGTTGTCAAGTTACATTCTTAGTCTCTGCCTCTTTTTTCCAACCATTGATAAAATAAATTCAATGTTTGAAAATATTCTGTATCTTCTTATTCCTTGTTTTGTGTGTATATGTGTATATGTATATGTATGTACACACATGCACTCTCTCTCTCTCTCTCTCTCTCTCTCTCTCTCTCACACACACACACACACACACACACAGAGAGAGAGAGAGGGGGAGAGAGAGAGAGAGAGAGAGAGAGAGAGAGAGAGAGAGAGAGAGAGAGAGAGAGAGAGAGAGAGAGAGAGAGAGAGAATATATTGAGGCACACAAACTATTTAACTTACAATGCTGTCTTTGCAAACAATGGACAACCTAACAAACTGCACTTTCTCTGACCTGGCTGGGCTATATATCATAAAATTCCAGTGAAATGTATTTATTTATTACACTTGATTGGCGAAGCTCTGAACAGCTGACATATGGCTCCCAGATGGCCTTTTGCAGCCAAACTAGGCCTTCTTACAGCTCACTGGGAATAAACCATTTCTGCATATGCACTTTCTGATGTCACAACTGAAAATACTGTATTTCTTGGAATGTTTCAGTTGTGGAAACTATTAACACAAAGACAAGTATTCTTTTTTAATGCATTATTAAATGTTTGGAGGCAAAAATAATCTTTTTAATATATGAAAAAATATTGCAAAGAAATGGGGGTGCCATTTGGAGCATGATCAAGCTATCAGTGAGAAGGGAAAATTATGTGCAGAAAGGTATTATGATTCTAAGTAACTAACTGCATTTCTTTGAAACTACGAATTGCAGTAAGCTTTGGGGTTTTTTAATGATGATGTGTCAACCACATTGTGCAAAGTCAAAACAATGTGAAACTCAAGCAATTACGCTTAGCATAACCACTTCATCCTATTTTGGGTTTGTCCCTAACTAGGTGCCCTCCTAGGTGAGCTTCATTTGTATGACCCTCAGCCAACCTAGAGGGCACCACCTCATCTGGAACTACAGAATAGCCTTAAGGCCAGTCATGCTCAGTATTCAAATGCCAAGGGATTCTGAGGGCCTTGGGATGTTTTTCATTAGGAATTTTAAAACCAACATTTTCCCGTCCCGTCTGTGAATGCTGGCAGGTAATTCTGCAATAAGGACAGTTCTCCTTGGGATATCATGTTGCTCACTCGGTATCATGCAGTTTTCACTGCTGATTAGCAGACATAAGTCCCTATGGAGCACGTGCACCCTCTAGTGGCGAAGAACCCAAAGACTTTGGAATGTTCTTCCAACTCCTTGATCGTTCCACCTGCCCCACCAAAGTATTTATAACTTGATTATCAAACACACAAATAAGTGTATGTTCCATACTGCCTGTTATGTAAGATTTCAGCCTGCAGGAGCCTGATTTATTTGTTCTTGGCTAAATCTTCCTTCTTCTCCTGTGTCTTCCCATTCATTTGGAATACATTACCCATCACCCAATGACTGTGGATGATAGGAACCGTATTCCAAC